CCACTAGACCAGGTTACTCCAAGCCCCGTCCAACCTGGCCTTGAACACTGCCAGGGATGGGGCAGCCACAGCTTCTCTGGGCAACCTGTGCCAGGGCCTCACCACCCTCACAGGGAAGAACTTCTGCCTCAGATCTCATCTCAATCTCCCCTCTGTCAGGTTAAAGCCATTCCCCCTTGTCCTGTCCCTACAGGCCCTTGTCAAAAGCCCCTCTCCAGATTTCTTGTCAGCCTCTTCAGCTACTGGAAGGCTGCTATAAAATCTCCCCGGAGCCTTCTCTTCTCCAGGCTGAACAAGCCCAGATCTCTCAGCCTGTCTCCATAGCAGAGGTGCTCCAGCCCCTGGAGCATCTTCGTGGCCTCCTCTGGACTCACTCCAACAGCTCCGTGTCCTTCTTATGCTGGAGCCCTAGAGCTGGTTGCAGGACTGCAGGGGGGGGTCTCACCAGAGCAGAGGAGAATCCCCTCCCTCGACCTGCTGGTCACACTGCTGGTGATGCAGCCCAGGACACGGTTGGTTTCTGGGCTCAAACGCACACTGCTGGGTCATGGGGAGCTTCTTATTGACCAACACCCCCAAGTCCTTCTCCTCAGGGCTGCTCTCAATCCAGTCTCTGCCCAGCCTGTGTTTGTGCCTAGGATTGTCCCAGCCCAGGTACAGGACTCACTCCTGATTTCTGGAGAGGAGAATCACAGCATCATAGGATCAACTAGGTTGGAAAATATCTTTAAGATCATCAAGTCCAACCATTACCCCCAGACTGCCAAGACCACCACTAAAGCATATCGCTGAGGGCTCCATCTACACGTTTTTTGGACACGTTCTTTGATTTTTTTTTTTGCTGAGTGACGGTGATTCCACCATTTCCCTTGGCAGTCTGTTCCAATGCCTCCATTGACCACCCTCTCTGAAGACACTGATCCTAATATTCAATCTAAACCTCCCATGGCACGGTTTGAGGCTCTTTCCTCTTGTCCTGTCACTTGTTATTTGGGAGAGGAGATCTACCCCCACCTCACTACAACCTCCTTTCAGGCAGTTGTAGAGAACAATAAGGTGCCCCTTGAGCTTTCTCTTCTCCAGACTAAACACCCCCAGTTCCATCAGCCATTCCCCATCGCACTTCCAGACCCTTCCCCAGCTCCATTGCCCTTCTCTGGACCTGCTCCAGCACCTCAATGTCTTTCTTGTAGTGAGGGGCCCAGAACTGAACACAGGATTTGAGGTGCGGCCTCACCAGTGCTAGTACAGGGGGACGACCACTGCCCTGGCCCTGCTGCCACACTCTTGCTGATACAGGCCAGGATGCTGTTGGCCTTCTTGGCTGCCTGGGCACAAGCTGCTCATGTTCAGTAGCTGCCAGTGAGCACCCTGAGGTTCTTTTCTGCCGAGCAGCTTTCCAGCCACTCTTTCCCAAGCCTGTAGTGTTCCATGGGGTTGTTGTGGCCCAAACACAGGACGCAGCACTTTGCCTTGATGAACCTGAAGATGGCTGGTGTGACTCTTAAAGACTGGGGCAAAGGCAGTATTAAGTACCTCAGCCTTTTCCACATCCTCAGTATCCAGTAGAGGGCGAAGGTTTTCCTTGGCCCTCCTTTTATTGCTAGTATATTTCAAAAAGTACTTTTGATTATTTTCATGGCAGTGGCCATATTTTTGCCCCAACTTTGACTGCTGAGCCCAGTGCCGTCCGGCTCAGTCCACTCAGGCCACGTATCCTGGCTCTATCCCCTCCCAGCTTCATGCTTGTTGGCCCATTACCAACACTATTTTAGTCTCAGATGCCCAAAACAGCATTGCAGAGCTACAATAGCAGACATTAACTCCAGCAGAGCTGGACCATCAACCAGCACGTGAGCACACTTTAAATCATCAAATCCTAGAATGGTTTGGGTTGGAAGGGACCTTAAAGCTTATCCAGTTTCCAACCCCATGCCATGGGCAGGGACACCTTCCACTAGACCAGGTTGCTCAAAGCCCCATCCAACCTAGCCTTGAACACTTAACCTGGCTTTGAAGTCCCAGCATGGCTTCATACTTCAAGAAAAAGGGAAAAGGCACATGCTTTTGTGTTAGTGCAGAAAGAGGACTATTAAGTGTATTTCTGGAATAACTTGGGATTGCTTTCTTCCTTGCAAGCAAACAAGGGAAGCAGTAAGGCTGGCAGCATGACCTACAGTAGGACTGCCTGCATTCTGCCTCATGGGAACAGCCCCCTCAAGAGTGTTTTCCCCATCCCTGTCCCAGGAGAGCCGGGCTCTGGAAGAGCTTGTGCCTTTAAGAGGCTGTGCCAGGGACCAGAGCACTTTGGGTGGTGAAGTTTAGACTGTAGGAGGGGCTGGGAGAGGTGAATCTCACCATCACTCCATGGGGCGGGGAAGGAAAAATTCTCCCCCTATCTTTGGGAACAGGGCAGGGTGTCCCACAACTGCCCCACATTAGTTATCCCAGTGCTGCCACACTCCCCAGTGAGCGGGGCAGGAGGCAGGCGCCACTGCCCAAGCTGCCCACACCACCAGCCCAAGGACTGCACCCCAGCACCCATTGCTTCTGCACCCCTGTTAGAGCTGACAGAGCGCATGCCACCGAAAAGGTTATCATCAGTAATGTTCCTCAAACTATCCGTTTCAGCTTCCTAGGCTATAGGAGCGCCCGCAGGGCTGCCTTCCACCTCTCCTCTGGCCCCGACGCATCCCAGCCCAGCCCTCTGTCTCCAGAGCAGAGAAGCGAATGTCAGCAGGATGTAGGTGCCTGCCCCGTTCCGCAGCCGACCCAGCTCCTGGCCCCGGCAAGCTGTGCTCGGGGCGAGCGCACCCATCCTGGCCCATCGTGGGACTGGGTCGTGTCCGGGGTGGGCAAGATCAGCGCTGGCTGCGGGAACGTTTCCCAGCTCGCAGCAGGAAAGGGGCTCTGCAAGGGGTCTGGCCCCAGAGCAGGTAGCAGGTCCCTCCCCATCCAGCCCTGCAGCCAGTTCCTGAAGCCAGGCTTTGCTCCCCTGCAGGCATCAGTCTACCCCTGAATAGCCCCGGATCCCTCTTCCTACCCCACGGGCTCCTGCACTCACCGCCCTGCCTCCTCCCTACCCTCCCAGTTCAACCCCTGCAGCCCACACGGGTGCCCTGAGCTTCTTCAAACAAGCCGTCGAGCAAAGGCTGTTTCCTGCATCCCAGGCTTAGAGCAGGGACCATTCACCCTAAATGCCCTTTTTCCCTTCCCTGGCATCTCTCAGGAGATGGTAAAACCCATGAAATATGAAGCAGAAGACAGACAAGATCCCTACTTTATGCTGATCCCTCACCACCCCTCACCCCACCACCCCTCCCCAATGCTTAACCCTCAAGGTCCTACCATCTGCCTCTGACACTCAGCAGCTCCAGACTGGAGTCAGCCTGTCCAAAGTCCTCCCCTTATACAACCCGAATTTGTCACATGCTTTCCTTCTTGACAATGGAGATAGCAAGAAGCATCCCAATTTACTGGAAATCAGGCCATTTTCACAATAATACAAAAGTGAAACTTGGCAGCTGCTGCCACGGATGGAGCTGAGCAAAACAGGATGGGTGGAGGCTGAAGTGAGAGTGGTCCAGGAGAAGAACATGAGCAATTGGACCCTAGAGCAGCTTCCAGTGCCTAAAAGGGGCGACAAGAAATCTGGACAGGGGCTTTTGAGAAGGGCCTGTAGGGACAGGACAAGGGGGAATGGCTTTAACCTGACAGAGGGGAGAGTGAGATGAGCTCTTAGGAAGAAGTTCTTCCCTGTGAGGGTGGTGAGGCCCTGCAACAGGTTGCCCAGAGAAGCTGTGGCTGCCCCATCCCTGGCAGTGTTCAAGGCCAGGTGGGACAGGGCCTGGAGGAACCTGGCCTAGTGGAAGGTGTCCCTGCCCATGGCAGGGGGTTGGAACTGGATGAGCTTTTAGATGAGCTTCCAACCCAAATCATTCCGAGATCCCAACTAGCCAGCATTCCTTCCACTCCATGTGTTTTGTGCTGGTTTTGCACCGCAGCCATTCGGGGCACCCAATGGGCTCCCACGGGTGAGGTCTCTGCAGCAGAAGGGAGTTCCTCTGCCCCTGTGGGACCCCTCCTATGGGCTGCCTAAGGCGAGCAGTCTCTTGCTCCAGGCTCGGCCAAGCGTGGGTCAGGCCCTGGTGGCAGCCTGTAGCCTGTGCTTTTCTGTATCCCTCCAGCTGCCCGGTGGGATATGCTCCAGCCCCACTGGCACTGGTCCAGGAGCGCTGGAAGCCCCCCGTGGCTGGTTCCTGCAGGAAGAGAGAAGTGAGGCTTTTTGTATGAAAACACATGAGCCTGAGGAGCCAATTCAATTTTGTGGGCTGTCTGAGCCCTTTCCAGGAAGGGATTTTATTCCCGGGAAACAGAATGCCCATTTCACAAGCCAGGGTGAAAAACAAAGTAAACTTTCAACCTGCACTAAGGGTTGCACTAAGATAAGCAGAGACCAGACTGTGCCCTGTCCCTCAGCTCAACAGGGCTGCTCGCTCAGCTCCCACCACGTTTTCCAGCACAGGATGCAGGGATAGATAGTGCCAGTACCAGGATCCAGGGTGCCAGACCACAGGGGTCCACACAGGATGCAGCCAGACCCTTGGACCACATGAGACTTCTGAGACCACAGCAGGGTAGTGTGGGAGGAAGGAGTGCTCGCCCCAGTCTTCTTCCCTGGAGAATCGGGTCCTGGGGATGGATCCTGCCCTGCAGTTCACAGCCAGCCCTTTGCACCAGTGCAGAAGTTCAGGGCCAGGAAAATACCAGGGCAGAGGAGGCTGCAGCCTCCCTGTCCTGGGCTGTGGCAGGGTGGGTTTGGGCTTTCAGACCTTTTCTAGGTCCTCAGAGTGGGGACCCCTCTGTACTTACCAGGACAGTGTTTATTGAGACCAGTTCTGGGCTGGGCACTGCTGCCCTGCTCCTGCCAGCCCCAGGGTACCGAGGAGACAGGTTTCCCCTACACAGCAACCTGGGAACTTGTCCCCTATGCTCTATACCACAGACAGACAGACAGACTGGAGGGTCACTCCTGGGGCCGGACTGCCTCATGGTTGCAGCAGGATCCGAGGGGGCTGGTAGGGTGCCCCCAGCATGCCAGAGCCGATAGGACCCCATGGGAGCTGGCAGCCACCCTTCAACTCATGCCACCCTGGGCCCGGTGGCCACCTCTTCCAGCCAGATTTGGTCTTCTCCAGGGGGAACACAGTCACCTCAAGGTTCCCTCCAGCACCGCTCCTGCATCAAGTGCTCAGTCCCAGCTGCTGCTTTGTCCTCCCATGGCATCACCTCTCCTCCTGCAGTCTCCAGGACATCCGCAGCGACATTGTCTTCACTCTGAGGAGAGGTGACAATGACCACCATCCACCCAGGGAACCAGTGCTCCCCCCCAACCCACATATGGAGTGGGGATGCTCACGGCCAACAATGCTCAGCAGCTCCTCGACCTCCTGCTCCAGCCGCAGTTGCAGCAGCTCCCGCAGCAGCTCCCGGCGCCGGCTCCGCGGGGTCACCCCCATGCGCCGCAGGGTCCCCTCCGTCAGCCGCAGCAGGACCCGGCCCGAGACGTCGTGCTCATGTGCCAGCTCCACCAGCTCCCTGGCCCCGCTGTGTGCAGCCAGCCAGGCACCAGCCTCCGCCACAGTCCACTGCGCCACCGGGCGCTGCTTCTCCTCCGACTCCTGCAGCGGGAGGACAGGGTGAGCTGGGATGTTCCCTTGTTCCCTCGTCCTCTGGCCTCTCCCCCATGGGAACTACAGAGTCAAGCTACCTCCTCCATATAATCACAGAATGGTTTGGGTTGGAAAGGACCTTAAAGCTCATCCAGTTCCAACCCCTGCCACAGGCAGGGACACCTTCCACTAGACCAGGCTGTTCCAAGCCCTGTCCAACCTGGCCTTGAACACTGCCAGGGATGGGGCAGCCACAGCTTCTCTGGGCAACCTGTGCCAGGGTCTCACCATCCTCATAGGGAAGAACTTCTGCCTAAGAGCTCATCTCAATCTCCCCACTGCCAGTTTAAGGTCACTCTCCTTTGTCCTGTCCCTACAGGCCCTTGTCAAAAGTTTCTCCACATGTGTCCATACCACAGTCCCCTCTACCCACTCTGAACGTGACCCTCAGTCCCATCCCCGCACTGATGCTGATGGCTGCACCTGCATCCCCATCCTCCACCCATGGGGACCCCCCATCCTCCACTGTGGGGGTACCCCAGCCACAGGTATCTTTGGGGTGCCTCCTGTCCCCCAAGCCCCTGCCCATGCTCACCTCAGCCATCAGGCACGCCTCCAGCGATGCCTCAGCCCCATCCTGCACCCCAGTGTCCATGCAGGGTAGCGGGCAGGGCACAGGGGGAGCTCAGGCTTCCTGCAAACAGGGCTTCATCAGACAGGATGCCTGTGACTTGCCTCCCAAATCCTGCCAGCCAAATACCCCCGCAGTGCCCCACCATGGCAAAGCACCCTATCCCATGGTCCCTGCGCACCACCGCAGGTGGTGCAGCATCCACCAGGGGCATGCAGGTGAGGGTGACCATCCTCTTCCATGCCACCTGCTCCATGCCCCACAGCAGAATGGGGCTGCTCATCCAGGTTCCAGTGAGGGACTGTGGCAAATCCCCACAGCCCATCGCATGCCACATGGGCATGCAGAGCCCGGCACACCCAGGAGGTGAGATCAGCCCTGGCTTGCCCCTTTCACTCACACTGCGAGCCCAAGGGGGACACACTAGCAAGGCACAGCTTCCCCAGGCCAGCCAGGGCCCCTTCCCCTTCCTTACCCCTTCCTCCTCACCACCTTCCACCTCGCACCTCCACCCCAGGTCAGTGCCAAACACACGGAGAGCGAAAGAAACCTTTGCCCTGACCCTGCTTCAGCATGACCTGCGTGCCCCAGCAGCCCAGTTCTGCCTAGCATGCAGCACTCCTGGGCTGCGAGGGGCACCCCAACACAGGGAACAGAGGGTCAGACCCCTGCCTGGTTGGAAAAGAGCAGAGCTGGGCTCCATCTGTACCAAGGGCCAGAGAAGGAGCGCTGTAAAGGTGTTCTCCATGTCCCCTCTCCCAGCTCTCTGCAGCCAATCCACCCCATTTGCCCCAGCACCTTCTCTGCACAGACAGGACGGACGCACCAGAGCGGCTTCACCTATGATGAGGATGGTGGCGGCAGCGAGGGTCCTGGTGCACGATGAGGTGGCAGGAGAGACACTGGGAGCGCAGGCGGAGGAGCAGGATGAACCTCGATGATGAGTCACAGCATGAAGGCCAGCAGCCCTGCCCCACTGAACATGCAGGAACCCAGCCACTGCCTGCAACAGGCCACAGCACAGCCCCGGAGGTGGATTAAATCCTCCAAGAGAACTGTGGAAATGAGCCACTCTGGAACAGACAACATCCAAATGGGGCCACAGCGCTGCCTGGGCTGCCCCAGGACACAGCAACACGCATTCACCTGAGCTGTGGAAACATTTCACACTGTATCAGCTCACCTCCCAGCCCAAACAGCACATAAGCCTTGGCTCCCTGAAGCAACCCCATCCACAGCACTTCCCCAGCACAGCCACAGCAGCACCCCGCCCCGGACTGGTAGTAGGGCAATCACCCCCCATGCACCTACTGCTGCAGATAGGCTAATGTCCACATCAGCAAAGCAAGCAGCTACATGGGGTTATGTTATCTTGAAAGACACACACAGAAGGGAACAGGCCCCTTCACACTTCAACCAGGCAGTTCCTGATTGCCTCCTTTACCCACCATCCACGCAGCTCCCACTTGCTCCCATAGCCACCTCCCAGTACAAGATTCCCACTGCAGCACGAGATTTCCAGCCAGGAAGAAGCCAGAACCACCCACTGTTACGCCTGTCCCTTATCTCGGGTGTGCCTCCCCCACTGCTGAATCTCAACCGTGTCAGATGCTGGCAGGGTGAGATCATGAGAAGCAAGCCACCAAAACATGCTCAAAAGCGTCTCTTCTTATGATTCACTGGGTCGGAGTTCAGAGCCGCTATCTCCCATTTCGGAAAGCGGTCACCTCATAGCACATCTCCCACAGAAATCAGCCCCAACCTGTGTCAGGTGAGGGAAGGAAGTTAAAAAGCCAGACTATTTTATTTCCTGATTTATTGTGGTTAACATCAGCAACACTCATTTGTTCAGAAGTGATTTGCTAATTCCAGTGCTGTCTGGACATCACGCAGCAAACCTCCTCCTTCAAAACCAGGTCAGCCAACTCAGCCTGAACCCATTCCTGAAAACAGCCGTTACTCCCCAGATTAATTCCACCTAAGCCCACCGATCTCCAGTACCTTCCATTCTCCTTATTCCCAAACTTAATCCTCCCTACATGGCTTTGGAATCATCCCTCTTCTCCACAGGGGGAGAAATCACACTTACTGAAGAGCTGCATTAGGAATCACAGAGGTTACAATGAGCCACAAGAGGCTAAAAGCTACCTTAACTTTTACTCTCCTGGAAGTGGAATATTTCTTAGAGTGCATTCATTAGTTGAAAATTACCAGCTGAGTAGCTAGAAGGGATTTATTTATAAAGGCCACCAAAAACCCTTTCTGAGAAGGATTGTAGGATGTTTTATTAGTGCATTGAAATGGCATTGCCAGGCACAGGATGGATGAATACCCACTCAGCAGCCCCTTGTCCCACTACTGAGGGTAAAGCTCCACTAACATCGCATGGCCCTGGAAGGAGAGAGAAAGACAAGGAATGGTCACAGAAAAGACTAACCATCACAGACATGCTCACGATGGGAGATTCCATCTCCTGAACACCTTAACATAAAAGGGGAGATGAAAATCCAGCACTGGCTCACTGAAAGGATTCTGCCAACAGCAGTTTGATGGCTTTGGGACAGCACAGCTGCTCCAGGCTGGGAAAGGAACCGGAGTACCGCCCAGCCAATGCATCAGGCCGTCCCAAGGGCCAGGCTAGGAACACCAGCACCTCGGGATACAGAGCACCAGCTATGCCAGGTCCCTGTGGAAGTGCCACCAGTCACTGCAGCATGCACCAGGCTCCCATCCAAAGGCCCACAAGCTGTAGGTAGAGTCTCACCCCCATTTTTCTAGTTAAGTTCTTTCTTCCCAAAGTGAGAAGAATGACATTCACAAACCCCAACTGATGATTCTGAGCTGGGCTGGAGAGTCTCTAAAGAGGAATGAGGCAGAGGGAGCCCACTGAACAGAGCCAGAGGGTGTCAAGGACACCCAGTGCCACCTGGTGTGCCAAGACAGGATTTCACAGCACCACCAGGATCAGAAATGCGGCTAGCTCTCCAGAGGGAACAGTGCCTGACCCCAAAGCATCATTACCTGCCCTCCCGCTGCACAGGCAGCAACCAGGCCGTACTGTCCTCCCTCCTTCTTCAACCTGTGAGCAGCAGTCATGACCAGCCGGCATCCAGTGGCAGCGAAAGGATGGCCCAGTGACAGGGAACCACCCCAAGTATTGAACTTCTCCAGAGGAGGGGCTCCAACCTGTGAGGACACACACCATCACCTGCCTGCATGGAGGCTGCCTGACCTACTCCTAACACCACCAAACCTCCGACAGCCCAGGCTGCCCTACAAAGTGTCTGTTGCCATGTACAAGAGCCTGAAGACAGGACAAAGCTGTGCTAAAGGCTTTGCCACCTCACCTGCGGCCCAGCAGAGATACTCCAGACTCTCAGAAAGCATGCAGGAGGACTGGCCCCCTCCCACTGTCTTTAATTCCCATCTCCAATAATTTCTATTATGACTTTAGACCTCCACCTCCCACTGACAATGGAAATGCCATCACTCCCAGAGAAACTGCTCACATCGGGATTTGCTAAGCAAGAAGGGACACTACAAAAGCTGAGCTCTGCAGCACCACACACCCTCCTGCAACAAGGGACTCAATAAATCCTCAAGTTAAACTAAACTGAAGATAGAAGTGTCCCGATTGTGTCTTACCTTCGACTTCCTGCCCATGTAGTTTTGTGCAAACCAGTCTGAATCCATAGCCTTCAGGTTAGCCAGGATCTGCCCCTGAAAGAGAGGGAGCGTGACAGTAACAAGAACGGGCAGGCTCTGAAGAAAACCTACGGGCAGCGCTTACCAAGCGTGAGATATCCCAGGACTTGCTACGATCACTAAACTAACACAGCCAAATACAGGCTCAGCCTGTTAATGTCAGCTCCACCTTTGCTAGAGAAAGATGCCATCCAGTAAATGAGCCACCTCTCCATGGTAACACAGATTCCCAATCCAATTAGCAGGTGATGTGGTTTCTTTCATCTAAGGGTCTGGGGAATTACAACTATTTTTGTTTATATATTATTTTAGAAGAATCTGTACCTTTGGTGACTTTAAACAACAAAAGCCTCTCTTAGCATCAATTGTGTCCACATAAAATGCTATATATTTAAAATATATACAGTACTTCTCTTCAGACATGAATGCAGAATTACACCTATGTACGTTTAGTGACGGTCTTATCAAGAGCTTTCACCAACACGAAAGCAGACGTCTACAGAACAGCTTTTTACAGCTGGAGGTATCCTTAGTGCTCCAGCTGTACCAGCTGTACTGTTGTGGTTTAAAAGCCCAGCTGGTAACTCAGAACCACGCAGCCACTCACTCACCCATCTCCTCCTTCCTGCCCCCGCTCCCAGAGGGATGGGGAGGAGAATCGAAAGAATGTAACTCCCACAGGCTGAGATAAGAGCAGCCCAGTAACTACGGTATAACACAAACCACCACTGCTGCCACCAATAATAATAATGATAAGGGAAATAACAAGGGAAGAGAATACAACTGCTCAGCACCTGCTGACCGATACCCAGCCCGACGCAAGCAGTGATCGGATGGGTAGTGCTCTAGGCTCAGTACTTACAGCAAAAGCTTCATGGAATTCAAAGACATCAATATCAGCCATGGTCAGACCCGCCTTCTCCAGCACTTTGGGAGTAGCGTAGGTTGGACTGAAGAGGAGTTAAGAAACAGAAGTCTTACATGAATACATTTCATCACATCATCGCCCCCTTTTTCCACAGCAACCCACGTTACGTTCCCTAGGTCCATGGTACAATTCTCTGCTTGTCTAACCAAAACACAACCCCAAGTAACAACTGCTAGTAACACCACACTGAGATGCCTCCCAGCACACCAGGGTGGGTATGTCTGCCACAGCTCCTCTCCCACATTCGCTGCCTCCCCCTCCCAAGTCACACCTAGCACACCAGCTCTGGCACCTCTGCAAGAGAGCCTGAAGATTAACATCTCATGAGACACTTCACAAAAGAAGACACGTGATGACAAGTCAAGGCTGCTGGGCTAGTACAGACTATTAGGGCTTCTGAGCATCAGTACCTACCCCAGTAGCAGCTGGTCCTTTGGATCTTGGGACACATACACGAAGTCCCTACACAGGAGAAATGCTATTAGTAACAGAAAGAGGAGGAGACAGAAGCGAGAGCAGACGTCAGAGGCCATGCAGAGCAGGCTTTTTACCTTAGGTAGGCCTTCGGTTTGTAGCCCAGCGCCAGAGCCTTCTCCTCAGACATAAGCAGAACTGCTGAAGCACCATCCGTCTGAAAGAGGCAGACAAGAGTGAGGTCTCTGCCTGAAGAACTAGCACACTCTGCGCCCAAAGGCAGCCTGACAGCCCTCCTGCAGAGCAGTTGGCAGGACAGGACCTGATGTTATCAGGGCTTCCAGGACTTCCCCCATGTCTGCATAAGTGAGCTGATAGACGGGTGTGTGGATGGAACACGACATTAGCACACACAGTGCTGAAGCATTTCCTTACAGTCAAAACCCACACAGAGGTGCCTAGAAGCCCTTGCCAGTCTTATGGACAAGCTGGTTATCCCACCCACCCGTTCACCTGGCTCCATCCCAAACCCAGAGTATAATTCCGGGATGACACAAGCCACAGGCTCACCACGTTGCAAAAGTGAACATCACAGCTTTGGCACGCAGTGGCCAAATTAATTTCTGGGATAAGAGCCTCAGCTGCCTACAGACTGGCAGCAAGAGCACACCAACAGCATTTCAGCTGCTCCTGCACCAAGGTTGCAGCCTCACCAGGCTTATGCAAGTCCCCAGAACCACTAAGGAGTAAATAGCATTGCTGCTGAAAGGGCCCCAGTAGTAGTTACTTTCTTCAAGTGTTGATCAGAAACTGTGAAACAGCCTTTTAAACACATAGAAATCTGATAGGGCTGCAGAGAGGAACAACATAGTCACCTTAAGACCTCAGCTAGAGACTTTCAGTGGCAACCACCTTCTGCCGAGTCTCAGGAACTGGGGCTCAGAAACGCCTCACCTGTCTATCACAACTACCTTAGACTTCAGCACCTAAAAAACCCTTCCTCTAAAAATGCTAAGGAGAGAAAAAGAAGCATATGTGGAAGAGAGTTCATCATAATGGAGAAGGATCCGGGGAGACCTCAGAGCAGCTTCCAGTGCCTAAACTGGCTAACAAGAAACATGGAGGGGGACCTGTAAGGATAGGACAAGGGGGAATGGCTTTAGCCTGACAGAGGGGAGGTTTAGATGAGATCTTAGGAGGAAGTTCTTCCCTGTGAGGGTGGTGAGGCCCTGGCACAGGTTGCCCAGAGAAGCTGTGGCTGCCCTATCCCTCGCAGTGTTCAAGGCCAAGTTGGACAGGGCTTGGAGCAACCTGGTCTAGTGGAAGGTGTCCCTGCCTGTGACAGGGGGTTGGAACTGGATGAGCTTTAAGGTCTCTTCCAACTCAAATCACTCTATGACTGAAAAAAAAACAATTATCTCATGAAAACTGATTCATCAAAAATATAATGAATCCTCATGAAGCAGTTACAGGAAGCAAACAGGTTAAGACAGACCAAACCTTCTGGGGTTTACTCATTACTCATTTAAAAACAAAAAATCCAAGTTCACCAAAGGAAAAAACTCTTTCCCACAGGTTACAGCAACTTATCTACATGC